ATTATATATTACCTATAACCAATAGAAAGTCAAGGTTTTCATCTATCAAATTGTATTCTGAACAGAATATCGTCAGCTTGGCTCACAGTACAGGATTAGTTCCAGTGGGAAAGTTAATGACTAGCTTGGATGAATGTGTAACAGCTCTTGTTGCATAGCTAGAAAGCCAGGAAAATTTTGAGAGGTAAGTGAATTTGTCTTCTTTTTCATGTTATTAGTCTATATTCTTTGGTGCATTATTTATTTAAATAAAAATTAAGTGCATTACTATCTATAGTATAAAAAAAATTAGGGCTAACTCTTTCTCTCTTTGTCCAACCAGATTTTGATCTTGGTCATGTTGAGTGAGGGTCTAAAAGGTTTTGTTGCCTGCACTTATATTTATAGAGATACTAGATAACACTATCTTCTGTGAGTCACATCTGATCAGATTTCTCTTTACTATGTCCTTAGCAGCACGGCTGAATTGCCTACTGGAGGTCATTGTGAGGACTAGTATGTGGACCTCCCCCAATACCTTTATCTCACATTATTTGCCTGATCTGTCAGTCTCTTCATCTGAGGGTTTTTGTCTACCCCCAGCAGCTATCTTAACTATTTCTGCTAGATTATCCAGAGGGGTGAGTATTTTTGTTTCTACCTTTCAGGGTCTCTTACCTTGTTTTCACAGGATCTCTCTCTTGCCCAGAAAGGTGCGCTTTTATCAAACTAATTCTGCACTAGCAACCACTATTTAACTATAATTATTACTGGATGCCACAGAATCTGTATAAATGAGATTTTTGATAAGACCACCTTGGAGCTCACCAGGTGGTATTACCATACTATGCTGGACTGCCACTCGTGGATTATCACGAGTAAAGCATATGGGGGTCCTGTCTGCCCCTGCTGATCATGGGATTGAATAAATCGTGGTCAGTTTGCTTTTAAAAATTTAGGGAACTTGGCTCACCTATTGCACTGTTTCAAGAGCACTGTTCCTAAGAGCTCCCCAATTTGTATTACCCCCCCCCCCCATAGGGAGTCCTTACCACACCAGGTTTCCAGTCACTGGGGTGGTGGACAGAGGATTTTTTTCCAGAGTGTTAGAGTGAATTAGATGGCAAAGTTGGGGCCTTCCTACCTGGGGCCTTGGATGTTTCTTTCCAGATGTCAGTAGGAGCGGCATCATCCTATGTAGGAGTGTACTCATAATACCAGTTCAGATTTGCTGCTCAGCTATCCAGTTGGGATGCGTATGAACCTTCATTTTGGTCAACATCTGGTCAGTATATTGTTCATGGAAGGAAGTCCACTATCTCCTCGTAATTCCGAATGCAGAGTGGTCTCATCCTGGTTCCTTGGTTGAGCACAGTTGTTCCATGTCTTCCTCCCTGCAAAAAATTTAACTGTTGTAACACTTGATATACTTGTTATGTAGCCTTCAAGTTTCATTTGTATGCATTTTAATGTGAAAAG